TCTTCTTGCTTATGTGCCGTGCTGGTTTCTCGGTCGGTAGCTAGATGAATCAATTTCTCGGTCGTTCGATCTGTCCATTATCTAATGTTTTTACGATTTTGCCCTTAATTGTCAATCAGAGTAAGCGATATGTATTTCCTCTCATAATATGATTCATAATATGACCGAAGTATTGGACCTTTCTCATTTTGATTATATTGATCAATTCTGATTCTTTGTGCATGGTCTCTAAGACACTTTCGTTAGATATGTGTACTTTCCACAAGATTCTGAGCTTGCGACAGTAACACCACAACTCGTAACTTCTAATTTGGTTTTATCGCAAAAAATAGTTCAGTGTAGGCATTAAGCAACATCGGTGATATAGCACATCCCTGTCTGACACCATGTTTAATAGAAACTTTAGCTGATCCATCTTGATCCACGTTAATACAAGCGATCTGTTTGTATTGAAGATTTTGAAGCAATCTAATGTCATACGTATCCAGATCAACTAGATCTAAGCATTAAAGTAGTAACGTATGTAGTATATTGTAAAAGATAACCACACTATTTGAAAACAAGAATATTTATATCTTTTTATAATCCCTGTCTTCACTGTGGTTCACAAGTATGGCAATTATAAATTCAAATATTGATTTAAAGTCTCGGACAGCGATGGAAGTACAAATAAAACTTAAAGATCGACAAAGAAAGGTGTTCATCGGAGAAGTGTCAAAACTTAATTAAATTTGCCTAAGTCCTTTGGAATCTTTGGATTGACGATATCTTTTGACGACAGATAGAAGAACTTAAAGAACAAGACAAGTAAAAGGGACAAAGGAAAGCATAAACAACATTAATAGAATAAAGGACGATAAATTCAAGCGGCAAGCATTAAAAATTGTTTATTAATAGCAAAATAAAACTTGTTTTTCTAATCTACATGATCAATTAAATCGGACGCCCATTCAGGACATTTTTTATGCATAGATTCTAAGAATAATGCATAAAAAGATAAATTAATATTCAATTTTTTATCTAGAACTACGAAGAATTATGAAAATGACAATAAATATCCGCTTTTTAATAATATTATGGAAATAAAACCACTTGCGGTAACAAAGGAAGCTTGTTACGAAACAGTGTTATGGATCTAGATGGCCTCACCTACTACGATATACTAGTCAGTGTGTCCGCATAGAAAGCGATTACAAATATTGTCGTAATTCTTCAAAGACAAGTGTATGGGTTTACGTAACTAACGGACTATAAGATCCTACTAAACTGAAGAACGCACGCTATTTTCTGTGGAATTACTGGCGCGTGTCTCAAAAAAATGGTAACACCTACCGAGGGCATGAGAATTATTGAATACGATGGTATAATTAAAAAAATAGTTTTCGCCGATGATGATAGAAGAATTTTTAACGTTTTTTTTTAATATATTATTAAATATGGAAGCGAAGCTTCTATACTGGGGTTGTATTTTAGTTTTTTCTCTATAGTGAAATGTTGAGGCGAGCGTCACGGATCTAGCTCCACAAAATGCAGTCGACACGAGTAGCGTCATGGAATAGCGGGTCTTCACATCGAGTCACTACTCTATCAATTCATTTTAAGTCATTATATATTTACTGTAACCAGATTTAAATTAAAAACTACATGAAAATATCTACATTCCATATAACAAAATACAGACATTAAATAAAAAGTAAAAAATTAAAAGTATATATACAATATCTATCTATCTATATAAGGATTTTTACAGCTGTCGCCGCTTTCCTTCTTTCAGCCAACTCCCAGTCCTTTCTGTTCTGCCATTCTCCATCTCTAAGGTCTCGTCTTTTCATGGCCTCGTCCACTTCATCCCTCCATGATCTTCGGGGTCTACCTCTTTTCCTCCTTCCTATTGGGCTCCAATCCGAAATTTTTGCTATCCACCTTGTATGATCTGTTCTTCTCACATGTCCATACCAAATTAAACGTTTTTCTTCGATCTAGCTGAGTATGTCTTGTTCTACTGCCATTCTTTGTTTTATCTCCTCATTTCTGATCCGATCTATTTTTGTCACTCTGCAGCTTCTTCTCATGAACTCCATTTCAGTTTCTGTGATTGTGTACCTGTTTCGTTTATTTATTACCCAATTTTCTGCTTCATAGGTCATAATACTGCGTACCAAGGTGTTATAAATTCTCTTCTTTGCATTTCTGGTAATCTGTCTATCCCACAGTACCCTGTTCATTTGCTTAATACATGTTCTTGTCTGTCCTAATCTGCTGGTTATCTCTTGCTTGGTGGTTTCATTTTTTGATAGTATGAATCCTAAATATTTGAATTTTTCGGTGCCCTTAATTTCTCTATCACCGTCCATTTCTAAGTTTCTCACTGGTTCTTGCTCTGTTGTTAAATATTCGGTCTTTTCTAGGTTTATTTCCAGTCCATTTTTGTGTATTCGATGGTCTTCCATGGTTTTATTATTTGTTCGAGGAATATATTGAATAGTGTCGGAGATGTAGAGCATCCCTGCAATAAGCCTTTTGTGGTCTTAAATTTGTTGGAGTATTTCTTGCCGGTTTTAATTCTCACCTTGTTGTTGTTGTAAAGGTTTTTTACGGTTTCTATTAACCTCTGAGTTATTCCAATTTCCTTCATGGTGTTCCATAGTTGTTTTCTTGGAACCGTGTCATATGCCTTTTTTAAATCTATGAATGCTATATGTACTGGTCTATTTTTTGCCATTTTTTTTTTCAATTAATTGTTGGTGTGTATAAATGTGGTCTACGCAAGATCTGCCTGACGTGAACCCCGCCTCATCTTCTCCGATTTTATTTGAGATTGATTTTCCAGTTTTTCTTTCAGTATTTTTCCATATAACCTGCCCATTTATGCTATCATACTGATGCTTCTGTAGTTCTCGTATTTCTTTTTATCTCCTTTTTTATGTATCGAGGTTATATATGCTTTGGTACTATTGCACTATGGCACTATTGCACTAAAGTTGACAATAAAAATATTATAGCGGTAGTCAAGTTGGCTAATACCTACTAAAAGTGTCACTTGTGGCTAGCTCATAAATTTCTCACAGCCCAGTGGTTCAAGTAAAACGGTACAGTAAAGAACATAAAAAAGTTGACGTCGAGTGTCGTCAAATAGTGAGGCAATACAATACTCACATGGGCGATATTAATCTGTCTGATATGCTTAAATTGCTATATAAAATACCATTCAAATCAAGGTGGTGGTATCTTTGCATTTTCAGCCAGCTCATAGACATCGCGGTGTATAACGCTTGGTTGCTTTATCGAAAAGATATGTTAGCTTTGGGAAAAGGGAACGAAAAACTAAAAGATTTTGCGGAAATATTGAAAGATCCCTGATTTTTTCAAAAAACGTAAGAAAATCTCGATGCTCAAGTGCGGATCACCAACTACAAAAAAAAAAATCAAATTTCCTGTAGCTCCTCGAACAACAGATGAAGTTCGGTTTGACAACGTAGGTCACTTTCCAGAGTTTATTGACAAAGGAAGATGTAAATGGTGTACTGACTGTCAAACTATAGTTTACTGTGAAAAATGTAAAGCGCGTTTGTGCTTGGTGTCAGGCTAGGAAAGCAACCTAGAAACTGTTTTGTTCTTTATCATAAGAAGTGATTTATTGGGCAATGTATCTTGTGAGATACACCTCGTAAATTTTTTTCAGTGCATATTTTAACTCTACATACAACTATATATGTACTCACAGGTCATATTCAGAAAAGCCTTATGGGAAAGAAAAGAGGGAATAAGAATTGGTGGAGAAATCATAAACACCTTGAGATTTGCAGATGACACGGTAATTATGGCTGAGAGTATAGAAGATCTACAAACTAGATGCAATAAATAGTGAATGCATTCAAATGGGACTTGACATCAACACAGATAAGACCAAATTTATGATAGTATCAAGGAGTCCAATAAATAATGAACAACTAACTCTTGGTGGACAGCAAATAGAGAGAGTGACAAAATATAAATATCTGGGAGCTTACATCAACACAGAATTAGATCCAGACCAAGAGATCCGGGTACGAATAGAAATGGCAAGGGCAGCGTTCTTAAAATTCAAACAATTGTTCTGTGACAAAAATCTGAATATTGCGCTGAGACTAAGGTTTGTTGAATGTTACGTCTGGTCGCAACTATTGTACGGGGTAGAAACATGGACACTAAAAGCGCAAATAGTTAAAAAGATTGAAGCCTTTGAACTTTGGATATACCGGAGAATGTTGAGAATCCCATGGACTGCCAGGGTCACCAATGAGGAAGTGCTGAGAAGAATGGGTCGAGTCAAAAAATTGTTGAGAACGATAAAAGTACGCAAGACTGCATACCTTGGACACATACTAAGAAATAATAAATATAGTCTTCTGCAGGTCATCATGCAGGGTAGAGTCGATGGCAAAAAGGGAATAGGTAGAAAGAGGAAGTCATGGCTGCGAAATATTCGAGACTGGACAAACATGACTGTAGACGAATTATTCCACGTTGCAAAAGACAGAGAAGCTTTTAAAAATGTGGTGGCCAACCTCCGTTAATAGGGACGGCATAGGAAGAAGAAGAAGTATATTTTAAGAAAAAAAATGTTGTTTTTATGTGTTTTTAAATAAATGTATACCAAATATACCTTAAAATGTATTTATTTTGTTAAATTTTTTTCCTTACTCGTTTAAGGGTTAAAGAAGTGTTTTCACAGCTACAGTAAGCTTCAAAAACTGTGGGACTTGTTATAAATATATATAAAACATACTAAATGGCAATACCACCAACTACACAAAACCAGATGAATAACTTAATTATTATAAATGCACAAACCATTAAAGTTGTTCAAGAATTTGTATATATTGGCTCATTTGTATATTTGGATACAAAAAATTATATGAACAACTAGATCAAGTGACGATGCTTCTTGCTAAACGAGTAGATTGTTATCATGTTACAGTATCCAATCAAATTTGTTTATCACTTTTCTATTTTTCTAGGCAAATTATGGAAAAAGGTTCTTCTCAATCCTGGAGAGACGTTCTCTTCCAGGCCACAGGAGAAAGTCGACTGGATGGAAGGGCTTTGAGAGAATACTTCAGACCTTTGGAGGACTGGCTCAGAAATGAAAACTTGAGAACAGGTAAGATATTTGTTTAAATTTACATTTAAGGTAGGTATAACAACATTTCGCCTATTCTCGATTAAAACCCAAAACAATAGGACTTACGGGATGAGTTTATTAATGATAAATTTCTAAAAACTTAATATATTCAATGAACGATATAATGTAATGACAAAACTAATACGATTATATCGATATTAGATACAATAAAATTTATTTACTTCCGAAGAAATAACTCAAAATCTTAGAAGAATCGGAAGATGATACTCTTAGTCTTACATTTAAATGGGCGCCTAAATTAAGCACCAAAATCAGTTTTGTTTTCTTCTTTTTTACATAGTATTAAACATCTTACTTAGATCACTCATTATTGCATCTTCAGGTCTTTTTCTTCGTCGAATAACTGATCTGCCGTCGGGCCTTTCACAGAAGGTTTTATTCGTATTTCATCATTTAATCTTAGTCCTGCCTGTCTGATCCAATTTGCCTTAACCCTTAGTCTCCCACCACGGTCCTTCTTTTGGCAATTACCGACGAACGGTACTTATAAGTCCGCCTTATTTTATTGCTCATAACTTTTTACAATAAGCTATATACGTTGTTTGCTTCTGACGATCCTTTAGAAAACCTACAAATATTTATTTGTTTTTAAAATTTAAAACGTTTAAATGACATTTGAAGTATTAAACATCAACTGATAATTACTGTTGTAAGTGCTAATGTATTTAGTAAGTATTAGATCCACTTCTACTACTTGGGATATAATACCACCAGAATTTGGTGGTACTCAAAAGTACCGCAATGACACTAAGGGTAATATATAGCAGGTACTATGTTTTCTTCTCCCTAGAGTGCTTGGAGTTCCTGGTTATGTATTTGTCTCAACTCTCCTGTTATCTCGTCTGTACAAGACCCAGAGAGATTCCGGAGGATCTTCCGTTCTAAGACTAATAATTTTATTGTTACACGCTGGTTCAGTGACCACGTCTCATTTTCATACATTTGTTAGGACAAATTACAATTTTCACCAAAAACATGAACATGCAAGTTAGTACACCCTGTATCTGTTAAATTTAATACGTACTGACATTAATATCCTCAAGAAGAAATTGTAAACCCTTAGATAATAGTCAAGTAATGACACCGTTTTCGAACATAAACATTTCTATTATATAATACTGTCGATATAACACTGCAAACCCCGTTTTCGAAAAATGCCCGTACCCACTGAAGCAAAAACGAACGATATCATTGTTTAACACATGCTCGTTTAAATCACAGTCTTGTGTTTTAACAAATCTCTTTTGGAAACTCAGGCAGCTGTGAAACACATTGGTTACGCTCTAGTTGATTGACGAAACAGGTATGGATATGATCATATGGTATTATAGAATGGAAGGGTTTTTGTCGCTCCCAATGCTGACACGTTAGTTTTTGTGTTAATGCGGAAGTTAATTACTTTATTTGATTACATGTTGTGTGATTGAAGGTTGGAAGTGGTCGATGACGAAATAATTAATAAATTGTATATAATATATGTATATATATATATATTTATATATATATATATATATAAAAAACAGTGTTATATATATATATATATATATATATATATATATATCATCATCATCATCATCATTAGCCATTTTGCGTCCACTGCTGAACATAGGCCTCCCGTAAATAATTCCATTGCATCCGATCTTGAGCAACTTGAATCCAGTTAGACTGGATGCGCTTTAAATCGTCCGACCACCTTGTTGGAGGACGTCCTCGACTACGATAAGCATCGTGTCTAGGCCTCCACTCTAAAATTTTCTTAGTCCATCTTCCATCTCTGACCCTAGCAACATGTCCTGCCCAGTTCCATTTCAGGGTTGTAATTCTTTCAACTGCGTCCGTCACACCAGTTTTTCTCCTTACTATCTGACTCGAAACTCTGTCCCTGAGTGATACGCCCAACATTGACCTCTCCATCGCTCTCTGTGCCACTTGTATCTTATTAATTACTTTTCTGGTAAGTGTCAATGTTTCTGCTCCATATGTCAGAACTGGAAGTACACACTGATCAAAAACTTTTCTCTTCAAGCACATGGGAATAGCTGATTTAAAGACTTCCCTCAGTTTTCCGTAAGCTGCCCATGCCAGTCCTATTCTCCTTTTTAACTCTGTTGTTTGATTGTCTCTTCCCAATTTAATCTCGTGGCCCAGATACTTATATGAATACACTTGTTCAATTTGCGTGCCATTAGTGGAAATGTTTTTTGCCAGTACCAGGTTGGTCATGTATTGTGTTTTGGAAAAATTAATTTTAAGGCCAACTCGTGCACAAGAGCTCTGAAGGTCTTGAAGAAGTTGGCATGCATGATCTACCTGATCTGCAATAAGGACTATGTCGTCTGCAAACCTCAAGTTGTTCAAAAATTCCCCATTTATATTTAATCCAATATTTTCCCAATTATTTTTTCTCATAGCACTCTGTAATAGGGCGGTGAATAGTTTAGGAGAGATAGTGTCTCCTTGCCTAATACCTTTCTCCAAGGGAAATGTGTCTGTGTCACCATAGTACATTTTTACAGCAGCTGTTGCGCTATCATATATATTTCGAAGAAGAGTTGTGTACCTATGGTCAATACTGCACTCTGTAAGAGCTCTTAACATGGAGCTATGCTGGACTGAGTCAAATGCTTTCTCAAAGTCTACAAATATTAATATCAATGGCTTGTTGTATTCTATAACTTTCTCTATCAAGGATTTTATTACTTGTAGGTGGTCATTTGTTCCAAAGCCACTCCTAAATCCGGCCTGCTCTAGAGGTTGATGAAAATCTAGCTTAGGTCCCAGTCTGTTAGTAATTATTCTCATAAAGAGTTTATATAAATGAGATAATAAGTTGATAGGTCTGTAGTTGCCAATTTCTGTTACATCTCCTTTTTTATGCAATATTATCATAATGGCATTATTCCATTTTTCTGGCGTATTTCCTTCAAAGAGGCAGGCATTATAAAGGGTTTTTAAAGCCTTTATGACGCATTCGCCTCCTAGTTTTATCATTTCACTTACAATGCCATCTTCTCCAGGTGTTTTGTTGTTCTTCATACCTTTTAATGCTGACTTAATTTCCTCTTCGGTTATATCTGGAAGTTCCTCTGACCCTTGATTTAGTATTGCTGGAATTTCTACTTCGGGAATGTGATCATCTCGACTATATAATGTTCTATAGTACTCTTCGATGATTTTTAGTATCTCTTGTTGTTCATGTATGACATGTCCTTGATTATTTTTTAACTTATAAATATTCCTCGCTCCTATTTTCAACTTTCGTTTTAGAACTTTTAGGCTTTTGTTTTGTTCTACGGTATCAGTTATTTCCTTAGTGTTAAAGTTCCTTATGTCTTTCCTAATGGCTTTTGAAATGGTTTTGTTTAAATTCCTTAGCTCTGCAATGTTCGTTGTATGCTTTTCTTTCATTTCCCTTCTTTTTTGTATTAGGTTTCTTGTGTCTTCTGTGAGTTTTTCATTTTTTGTTGAGTGCTTGGCTTGGCACTTCTTCTGTGACTTCTTCAGGGCTTCTACCAATTTTTCGTTTAGCTGTTCAATACTGGTTTCATCTTGCAGGTCTTTCTGTAGATTTCTCTCTATTTCTTCCTGGTATGCCCTGGTGTTAGTAATCGCAGTGAATGTAACATTATTAGTCCTTGTTACCATATGTCTTCTTTCCTTCTGTATGTTTAAGACTATCTTCGCCCTAACCATTCTATGGTCACTTCCAGTTGAAAATTGATTTAATACAGTTACGTCTTGAACAGCGTCTCTTTTGTTAGTAAATATAAAATCAATTTCGTTCTTGTTTAAACCATTTGGTGATTGCCAAGTCCACTTTCTTTGGTCGCTTTTTTTAAAGTGCGTATTCATGACATATAGCCTGTGTTGCAGAAGAAATTCTATGAGAGTTTGACCCCTTTCGTTTCTATCGCCATATCCGTGAGGTCCAATTACAAACTCCGAATCATCTTGCTTGTGGCCTATTTTGGCGTTTAGGTCTCCCATCAGTATAGTAAAGTTGGTGTTTGTCTCTTGTATGGCAGTGTTAACGTCATCGTAGAACCATTCTACTTCTTCATCTGTATGGGTACTAGTAGGTGCATATACCTGGATGATCTTTAACCGAATTTTTTGGTTTACTTTGTAGATAAGATATATAACTCTATCACTTATGCTTTTAATTGTGAGTATATTCTTTGTGTGTTTTTTATTTACCATAAATCCTACGCCACCATTGGAAGACTCTCCTCGATAATGCAATAGGTTTCCCGACGGAAGTACCATTTGTTCTTCACCCTTTCGCCGTACTTCGGACAATCCAAGTATATCCCATTTTATATGATTCAGCTCGTTTTCCAGTTCAACTAGTTTTTCGTCCTCCATCAATGTTCTTGTGTTGTATGTTGCCATAAACCATATTCTTTGCCGTTGTCGTTTATGAAGGTAGCCTGGTTGACTCCGGTGATTCTTAGCACCCTCTGTCCCTCTAACTACAGGACTGCTACCATAGCCTGTTTTCAAGGGACTGCCGGAGACTGAGGGCCTTGCATTTTCTTCCTTTCTCATTTTACGGGGTTCCTGGCCGTTTCTCTACCACGCTGGCCTGTGCGGGTTGGTAGAAGGATTGTAGGATGGGCTAGGGAATTTGGCGTCATCGACAAGGATGATAGGTTGGGACGTGGTACCCTCTCGGTTAAAGGGATTGAGAGTGAGCCACGGCTCGCATAGGCAGGGTCGCGATCCTGAAGTAGACCTAACTTTACCGGGATCGTAAAATGTATCTACCTGCTACCTTATATATATATATATATATATATATATATATATATATATATATATTATATATATATATGTGTGTGTGTGTGTGTGTGTCTCGTAAGTGAATGGGATGTTTTCAGTCAATTTGGAGATAAAAAAGACAAGAGTTCATCTAAAAGAGTGTTATTAGCGATACATCTAATATGAGACACAATTAA